GGACTTGTCTGTCTTGACTCGGGACTTGACTCGAGACTTGAATGCAAAGACTCGAGACTTACTTGTGACTTGCAAAACAATGACTTGGTCCCACCTCTGCTTTATACTGTACAATACTGATTGTGTCAAAGCAGCTTTACAGTGTCAAACAGGAAAATAGTTTGTAAATAATGTGCGTCTCTCTCAGAGAAGTTGAAGTTCACGCCCGTCCCGCAGCCGTCGCAGTGTCTGCAGCTGGACAGAGAGAGCAGCGTCAGCTGTGTTGCTGCAGGACGAGAGATGCCCATCATACACTGGAGCAGAGCAGGTCAGAGACATAAAATGGAATGTTACCTTAACGATCACATAACACATACTTTTATTGTTAGCTGGGCAGCTCTGATTGAAACTGAATGGCTTGCTGTTGCTGTGCAGTGATGTCTGGTGTGTTTGAGCTGGTTTCTCATGCATGTCTCTCCGCAGACAGCGCTGATCTCCCGTCTCACGTGAGTCAGATGAACGGAGTTCTGCGCTTCAGAACAGTGACCCGCGCCGATGGAGGAAACTACACATGTGTGGCGTCCAGCAGCGAGCAGGGAGAGATACGAGCGCACGTCCATCTCACTGTAGGAGGTGTGTGTGTTAGATTTGAATGCTGTGGTTGATCATGAGGTCATGTGAGTTGTTCCACACACACTGATACACTCACGTCCGTCTGTGTGTTTTGTCAGTTCACGTGGAGTTTAAGCTGGAGCCGGAGCAGACCACAGTCTATCAGGGTCACACGGCCGTGTTTCACTGCCAGGCGTCAGGTGACCCGCAGCCGTACGTCCAGTGGAGGCTCAAAGACAAACTACTCAGCAGCAGCAGCTCCAGCAGGCCAGTGATCTCACTCCACCTGCCTGTCTGTGTCTCTGTCTGTCTCTGTCTGTCTCACTCCATCTGTCTGTCTCACTGCACCTGTCTGTCTCACTGCAGCTGCCTGTCTCACTGCACCTGTCTGTCTCACTCCACCTGCCCGTCTGTGTCTCTGTCTGTCTCACTCCTCCTGCCTGTCTGTGTCTCTGTCTGTCTCACTCCATCTGTCTGTCTTACTGCATCTGTCTGTCTCACTCCACCTGTCTGTGTCTCACTCAATCTGTCTGTCTCACTACACCTGTCTGTCTATCTCACTCCACCTGCCTGTCTGTGTCTCTGTCTGTCTCACTCCTCCTGCCTGTCTGTGTCTCTGTCTGTCTCACTCCATCTGTCTGTCTTACTGCATCTGTCTGTCTCACTCCACCTGTCTGTGTCTCACTCCATCTGTCTGTCTCACTACACCTGTCTGTCTATCTCACTCCACCTGCCTGTCTCACTCCAACTGTCTGTCTGTGTCTCTGTCTCTCTCACTTCATCTGTCTGTCTCACTATACCTGACTGTCTCACTGCACCTGTCTGTCTGTGTCTCTGTCTGTCACTGTCTGTCTCGCTGCACCTGCCCTGTCTCACTGCACCAGTCTTTCTCACTGCATCTGTCTGTCTCACTGCGTCTGTCTGTCTCACTGCACCAGTCTGTCTGTCTCTGTCTGGCTCACTCCACCTGTCTGTCTGTCTCACTCCATCTGTCTGTCTCACTGCACAAGTCTGTCTCACTCCACCTGTCTGTCTGTGTCTCTGTCTGTCTCTGTCTGTCTCACTCCATCTGTCTGTCTCACTGCACAAGTCTGTCTCACTCCACCTGTCTGTCTGTGTCTCTGTCTCTCTCACTCCACCTGTCTGTCTGTGCCTCTGTCCGTCTCACTCCACCTGTCTGTCTGTGTCTCTGTCTTTCTCACTCCATCTGTCTATCTCGCTGCACCTGTCTGTCTGTCTGTCTCACTCTACCTGTCTGTCTGTGTCTCTGGCTGTTTCACTCCATCTGTCTATCTCGCTACACCTGTCTGTCTGTCTCACTGCACCTGTCTGTCTGTTTCACTTCATCTGTCTATCTCGCTGCACCTGTCTGTCTGTCTCACTACACCTGTCTGTTTCACTGCACCTGTCTGTCTCTCCCATACACGATGGTCCTTCATGCAGCAGATGTTGACGTGTGTTAATTGTGTTTCTCCAGGTTTCAGAAGATGCCCAACGGCTCTCTGGTCATTAGTGATGTGACCACTGAGGACACGGGTGTGTACACCTGTATCGCAGGAAACACCTGCAACATCAGAGACACCGCAGCGCAGCTCTATGTCGTGGGTGAGGAACACTAACTCACACGAGGAACATTTTAACCTGATTGGTGTGTTTTTTTAATAAATAAGGCAGATTTTAGCTTGAGAAGTCATAGTGTTCATGCACACACTCACACACTGATCATACAGTGTGTTTGTTATTTCATTTCATATTTCACATCTATTTCCATAGTGCTTTATACAATACACAGGGTTTCTGTGGGTCTTAAAAAGTCTAAATTCACCCTTCTACAAATTAAGGCTTTAAAAAGTCTTAAATCAGAGCAGAAAGTCTTACATTCATAAAGTCATGGCATTAAATGTTGCATACACTGCACTTCCTCAGTAATTTTGTTTTCAGTACAAATCTAAACATCCTTTAAGTGAGTTTATGCTTAAAACAAGAGCAAATATCTGTCACTGAGGAATGAAAACTTGTTTTCACTTTGAATCAAGTTGATTTTTCTGAGCCTGTTGGCAGATATTTGTTCTTGTTTTAATCATCAACTCACTTCATTTTGATCAATTTCTCATAAACAAGACAAGTAGATGATAATCTTTAAGATTTGATTACTGATTCAGACATTTAATAAAGGTTCTGAAGGATTTAGATCAGTATTTAAGAAGTTGAAGTCATTGAAACGGCTAGATCAGTGAAGTTCAGTGTGATGTCAGACTCCTTTGAAGTGCTTAGAAACTCTGATTACAGTGACACACATTCACTATCAGTGTTACATTGTTGCCTGGCAACTGTAAAAAGCTACAATTACACTTATCAGCTTGCAGGAATAAATATTTATTCTGATTAATAATGATAAATGTAAGAGTTTATCAGATGGTTTACAGTGATTTTACTACAGGTTTACTGTAGTGTTTTGTGATGTGTCTCTGTTCTCAGAGAAGCCTGTGCACCCGCGCAGTGAAGACGAGGATAAGAGTCAGTTTAAGATGTTCCAGACGATCGCGCTGTCGGTGGCCGTGGCCGTGGCGTACATCATTGCTGTGCTGGGACTGATGTTCTACTGCAAACAGAGACGCAAGAGCAAACGGCTGCAGAAGAACCGCGCCGGAGAAGAGCCCGAGATGGAGTGTCTGAACGGTACGTGTGTGTCATCTAGACTGAGATCCTCTAGACTAATCAACCAGCTGATATCTGCCTGTTTTGAGCTATATGTGTCTTATATGTAGTGACTGTTCAACCAACAGTCTTGTCATTAGGCACAAGTTCTGTTTTCACACATTATTTAGAGATGTTTGCAAAGAGTGTGTGTGTGTTTCCTCTAGGTGTTCAGCTGAATGGCCACAGGATGTCTGAGATCCAGGAAGAAGTGGCTTTAAGCAGCATGAGACCTTCAGCAGACTCAGAGAAACAGCAGAGCTGCGGTGACAAGCTGCACTTTCCCAGAGCGCACCTGCAGACCATCACCTCACTGGGTAATGAATCAGCAAAACAGAACCAAACTCACTTCAGTTCACTTTTACAATAATAATCATTTAAAAGATTTTACATTATGATGATATTTGCTTCTAGATTTAGGATATTACTTAAAGAAATCACATCATATTCATTTATTAAAGGGATAAAATTAAAATGTGCTGAAAATGTGCTCATCTGAGATTAGGATGAGTTTGTTTCTTCATCAGGTTTGTAGAAATGCAGCATTGCATCAGTGTCTCAGCAATGGATGCTCTGCAGTGAATGGGTGCCGTCAGAATGAGAGTCCAAACAGCTGATAAAAACATCACAATAATCCACAAGTAATCCACAGCACTCCAGTCCATCAGTTAACATCTGGAGAAGACAAAAGCTGAAACAAATCCAGCATTAAGACCTTTTTAACTAAAACACCATAGAGTCCATAATCCATAATAACTCGAGCCGGAGACGCTGGTGCTGGTCAAGAGTTTAGAGAGCCGAGAGGAAACGCACCGAACTGAGTTCAGACGAGAGCTGGAGATGTTCAGCAAACTCAATCACGCTCACATCGTACGACTGCTGGGAATCTGCAGAGAAACCCAACCTCATTACATGATCCTGGAATATGTGGATCTGGTACTAAACTCAAATCCTTTATTAATATATATGCAACATGCACTCTTATATTTTAATTAGTTTGGCTTGTGTACACACAGAACACACATTTATGTGTTCTAATTCTCTTTCACTTAATTAGCAGTATGAATAATATAAATCAGCATACACACCGTTTCGGTTTGAATGTATCAATCCTGCACACTTCTTAAAGGAACACTCCACTATTTTTGAAAATAGGCTCATTTTCTGACTCGCCTAGAGTTAAACAGTTGAGTTCTACCGTTTTCGAATCCATTCGGCCGATCTCCGGGTCTGGCGGTAGCACTTTTAGCTGTAGCTTAGCATAGATCATTGAATCTGATTAGACCGTTAGCATCTCACTCAAAAATGACCAAAGAGTTTCTATATTTTTCCTATTTAAAACTTGACTCTTCTGTAGTTACATCGTGTACTAAGACCGACGGAAAATGAAAAGTTGTGATTTTCTAGGCCGATATGGCTAGGAACTATACTCTCATTCCGGCGTAATAATCAAGGAGCTTTGCTGCCGTAACATGGGTGCAGCAGGCGCAATGATATTACGCAGCGCCTGAAAATAGTCCCCAGCACGCTCCCTGTGCAAGCAGGTGGTCACGTTGGTTATGTTGACGGAAGTTAGCCTGTTTTCAGGCGCCGCGTAATATCATTCCTTTTCCTAATTTGGTGTTCCCAATCAAAAATGACAGGCCTACAAGAAACTGCTTATAAATCTCTCATTATGCTGTATTATCACCAAATCTCGGATTCAATCTTTTTGTCAGATTGTTTTCTTTCATTTAGCACAGGGTTTGTGTTTCTTTTTGGAGCTGATTGATCACAGGCCTCATTGACCTGAGTTTATGCACCTCAGTTTTTGATTGAATATTGCCAAAAATGATGCACAAATAATGATTTTTCACTCTAAAACTGAGCTCAGATCAATGAGGCATGCGGAAAATCAGTTCCAAAAAACAAAACCTGTGCTGATTGACAAAAAATACGTTTGAAGAAGATTGAATCCAAGATTTGGTGATATAGAATAATGAGACGTTTATAATCAGTTTTTGTAGTGGGGAAAAAATCCCCCAAAAGTACAAAAAATATAAGTCAGTAAGTTTTAGTCCAATGCTTTAACATTTACTAGCATTTCCAGGAAAAATAAAATCCTCTCTGGGTCAAAATGACCAGAACATTAAGATTAAACTTGCATCATCACAATATTTTACTTTATTGTCTTTATAAGCAACATTGCGGTCAATCGAACTTCCTCAGGATTTATCCAGTTTTTCATGTCTGTATTAGACTTTTATCTGATGCACCTACGTATGATGATTTTCTGTTTGAATGTACAGTACGTTCATATCTGTTTATGATGTAGTAAAGTGTGTCCGTGTTAATAGTGAAGTCGTGCTGATGTGAGTGCTTTTCTCGTGTTTTTCAGGGTGATCTCAAACAGTTCCTCAGAATATCAAAAAGCAGCGATGAGAAACTCAAGCCGCATCCCATCAGCACTAGAACTAAAGCAAGTTCTTCCTGTGACGTTTCATTATTATTTTACCTGTTGCTGTGTCCCTGAGGTGGTTTGTGTGTTTAATAACTCGTGTGACTCTGTGTTGATGTTCACGGTGCTCTGCAGGTCTCCATCTGTGCTCAGGTGGCTCATGGGATGCAGCATTTATCAAACAGGGGTTTTGTGCATAAAGACCTGGCAGCCAGGAACTGTCTGATCAGCGGACAGAGACACGTGAAGGTGTCTGCGCTCAGTCTGAGTAAAGACGTCTATAACAGGTACCAGCTCCTTCAGTCCATTTGATGATCATTAAAGCGCTGTGAGATCTGCTGCCAATGTTCACATGTGTGCAGAGCGCCATCTAGTGTTGATGAAGCTCAGTCACATGTGCTGATGTGTGTGCGTGTGTGTGTGTGTGTGTGTGT